GTGTCACCTTATGCTGTTATATTTTAATTCTGTGAAAGGCTGTAGGAATTTTGTAAAACTAAAGAGTTATAAGATAAAATAAGAGAAATACAGTAATTATTATTATTATTATTATTATTATTATTATTATTATTATTATTATTAATGTATTTACTTTATATAGTAAAATATATGTATTTTAGTTGAATTTACTATTTGCATTTTGAACACAGTACGTTTAGCTGTTATGACAGAATCACATGTAAAGGCACCTCAAGTGAACTTCTGTGCTTGGGTTGACAGTACAATTAGGATGAACTTGTGTTTGGAGGACAGAAACACAATTGTCTAATAATGTTGGCTAAAAGACATTCCATAATAATTAATCATGTATTTCACTCCCTTTGCCATACGTAGAGATGCATTCTGAGCTAAGAAAGGGAAATTCTCATTTATTGTGTACTACTTTATAAATCGGCATGATCTGATACAGTATTAGTGTAACTTTTTCAAAATACTACACAGTGTGTTCTTCCTCCCTCCTGTTGTCGCCTAAATTATTAAAAACAATATTTCTAGGCTTGGAGAACTGCAGAGAGGAATAACTAAACCTGTGTCACTGTGCCTCTTTGTTTTTATTATCATGCAGTTTGTTCATCTCTTTGCAGAAAAAATGTATTTTATGTTTGTTTTTGTTGCAAATGTGAAGGTTAGACCATTGGGGAGTTGGTATTTGTGAGGCACTGTGCAACAATTTCATGATTTTATCATAATGTGAGAAGAGGCAGTCTTCAGGGACAGAAAAATTCTTTATTTCCAAGAAAGTAGCAAAATTTCTGCTAAATCACTTTGATCTCCTAGCTCTGAATGCCTTACCCTGATAATTATATTTGGATGACTTTTTTCTGTAGTTTTCTCCTCTCAGAGGAGTTAGATGTAATTCACCAAAAGGCTTTTGTAATTTTACTACAGTACATTCACTTAAGCTAAATATTAGGAGAAAGAGCAGAGATGCACGGTAAAACTAAAATTGGCAAACGTGGTTTGTACGAAGTATATGAAAAAAGCTCTCAATAGCAAGAAAAATGAAAAGAGAGATATATTATATTTTAGAGATTTTACATGTAGACCATTTTATTTCTGATTATTTCTTTATGTAAAATATTTCTTCAGACGCAGTCCACATTAAACTGCGTCTTTTCTGGTTCTCATCCCAGTTCATTTATGTACAGTAACTGTTCAGTGACTTACCAATGTAAACCCTTTCTCAGATCTAAAGCAAGATGAGATTTAAAGAGACCTATAAAATGTATTGGACTGTGGACACCGAGAACGAGATTTGAAGCACACTGCTTAATGTGCTATGTGTTCATCTGCAGACGAGATATATCCCTGTTTATAGGGCTTCCTTGCATTTGCTTTCCTGGACATACAGTATACAGTATAACGACTTTCTATAAGTTCAGTAAGTTCTTACAGGTGTATTGAAAGAATACATGCTTCAATATTTTTGGGCCAATAATCAGCAAGTTAAGAAAATATCTATTAAACATACTGCTTTGTATATATTAATCAAGATATTTTTATACACTGGCATTTTATTTATATTTTAGGCTTTGCCTTCATGCACTTTTAGAAGCATGCCAAAAATGATTTGTCATACAGTATTTATAATATAAAACCTTTTTTTAGAACATTGCAATAAAGAGTCAAAAATAACATTGACGTTGGAAACTGTGGCAATACAACGTCATTCTCAATCTCTTCACATCAAGGATGATCTCATCTTAATGACCCCTTGAAAAGAAAATGTAATTGGAAAGGCTTGCATAAAATATGTGAAGATCACTTTAAGGCAGGAAGGTCTTTGCAAGTAATTTATAAATCATCACTTTCCCCTCTCACATTTCTTGGGTAGATGTTTTCTTGATGTACTTCTTCCTTCAATAAATCAACACCAGCTAATGTATTGGCTCTGTTCCAGACTGTTTTCAGTCTCTGTGTCCAACAGCAAAGACAGTAATCCTCTTAAAATGCTCTTTAAGTAACCATTTGTCATCTTGGTGTTGCAGCGCATTGTAAATTCCTGACCACCTGAGTGTGAAGGAATGGGAACAGTCAGAGTCAGTGCTTGTTCATGTTTTAATGACTCCTCTTCTTAATGATTAGAGGATTTTCAGTGCACGATCTTTGTAATTGTCTGCAAAAAATCTGCTGCTCTTTTCCTAATTAGCAGTACAGTACAAAGTGTAATTGCTTGACCTTGTTGTGCCAAGGGGTGCTTTGGTAAAATACCTTAGCAAACATAAATGCAACAAGACAACTGAAATGTCATGGTGTAACCTTATACTATATATGAAGAGGGTAAAATGACTTTTATAAACTTTATGAGAATTTTAGTGTCCCACATGAGAAATAAAGAACTGTATTTTATCCTTTTATTTTAATGTTTTAAAAAACAAACAACCTCATACTCTTGCTTGTTTCCAGCTATCCTTTTACACTAAAGGCAAAAATGTCTGCCAAATACTCAAAGTATATTCATTTTAATTCATGTAGGATACAGAGAACACTTTCCCAATATAATTTCTGTTTAATTTACCTTGCATACATACACCCTTTCTGGAGGCAGCTTTTTCTGAGCTTATAAATTCCATCATTGGTGAAGCATCTAAGGGTATAAAAAATAGAACCAGATAATAAAGGACACATAAACCATGAAGTGAAGTGAACATGAGGTCTCATTTAATGGATTCTTGGGGTTTCAGAGCACATTGCACATGATTCCCTCCTCAGTGTCTGGTCTGCTCTTTAATCTCACTTTGAGCTGCATGGGCTGATTTACTGTCATTTTATTCAGATACAGTATTTAGCTAGCATTTATTACCTGCAGAAAAAGTGCTCTTCTGCAGCAAGGGGTGTTACTTGTTGGATTATAAAATGTTCAGTTCCACATGCTATGTCAAAATAATTTTTGATTTAACTCACTGAGTTTTATGTAAAATGATTTTACAGTGAGACAAATCTAAAGAAAAAAGACCAGAACATTTGATATATACTCTGTACAGCATTACATAAAAATTAAAGTAGTACATACCAGTGCATTCTGTAGTGTCCCGTCTTGAGAACGGATCACTGTAGGCGTAGTTTAGGCATAATGTATTACTGTTATTCTACCTCCAATGGCTGAGAATATGTGTTTAAAATGTTTGGACATGCAGTCATTTATTTTCACATTTGTATGCTAAACTATTAATAACAATGGAAACAAATTTTGTATATTTTGCAAGGTTGGTAAAAAATGTGTTTAGTACATCAACGTATCTGTAAGACAGGAAATTCAGAGGTTTTCTATAACAAAGGAGACCGAAAGAGGTTTATGTTTTGATATTTTTCCTTAACAAAAAGTAACTGGTGTTTGGCGTGGTTGAGATGGACTTTGATTTTAATTGAATTTTTGTAACTCTATATTGTATATGCATGCACCATTGTTCAATTAACCAATTGCCCATCATGTGTTTACAAGTCAGCACATTACAGCATGTTTCTCAGATGATGTGTGGGTATACATTGAATCATGTGACTTGATGGCTGTCTAATGGAATATTTTATCTCAGGAAATAGCAAACAGAGCCCTAGCCTGTTTAAAAACAGGAGTACCAGGATTCAGGAAAAGCACATCAGAAGTCAAAAGAGTCAGTGTACTGGAGTAAATTAATAGCACGGTCAGAAACATCACCCCATGAGAGGTAATCAATTTAATGATTTGATGTTATGATTATGATAACACTGCATTCATTTGCATTCAGATTTGATGTAGCTACAGTATATATTGATCTAGCTGAAGAGCAAGGAGATCTTTTTGTAAAGGTTAAAAACACTTCTGGGTAGCATCTATGCCAGCTGTTATAAAGTGAGTCAGGTCAAGCACATGTCGTTGCATGTTATTCTTTGGAGTAATTAACCTAAATGAAAAACAAAATACCAATTTAATCACCAAAATAGTTCATTATGTTAAGTCATGTGAAAATAATCATTGGGACAGTAATGATAGATGCATCCAACCTGTTACAATTATAGATGCAGTTTGAACCAAATGATAATAAATGTCGAGAAAGGAGCACTGGTCGATTCTCATTGATGCAAAGCAGAGCTAGAGCTCTTTGTAACTTCTTACTTGATGGGTAGTATAACGGGCATGTAGAAACAGCTCTACTATATACAGTATCATTACTTTTTGAATCTCTCCACGAAAATTTGATTTAGAATATTTGAACAGAAAACTTTTGTAAAAAAACTTGTACTTTTTTAAGCACTTTCTTTTTTTAGAGATGTGACATTCTGAGGGTGTCCATTTCACAAATTGCTTGCTTCCTTGGTGGTTGGGCGAGGGGGGTTTTGTGGGCACAATATTGTGGGAGAGGAACTGTACTCACTTGTTCCATTTCTCAGTGCATTATGCTGTCATTTCACTTAGTTTTCACTTTCCTCCATGCCAGGAAATTCAGCACCAGAATCAAAGGTCTTTTCAAAGAGCCCATTTTTTTTCTTCCATCAGAAAGTACGGACATGTTTTTGTTTTAAGGATCTCCAGACAGTGTTAACATTGGACCTTTTTATTGAATGTGTGTAATTTTTTAAATGGGTGGGAACCCTCATCCATTTGTAAATCAGCTCTATGCATGGGATGAATCTAGGGTTAAATGCTGTATTTTCAGTAAATAAAAGTATTGTTTTCAAGAGAATAATCCTTCACTGCATTTAGCTTTGCTGTGCAATCCCACATTGCAGCTCTTCAGCAGCAGAAGGCAAGCACCATTATCGGTTACAAACCTTAGGTTTACCATTTTCTTTTATAAATTAGGATGGCTCAGTTGTCTATAAAAGATGCTGCTGACAAGTATTTTCTCTACGTATCTGCTTATTGTAAGAAACGTCCTTCAGGACAGGCACTGCTTTAAAATTCTAATTAAATTTTAACTTGTTTTAGTCTGGTATACAAGAATGAGATGTTTTCCCCATAAGCATTCCTCAGTGTTTCTTTCTTTTTTTTCAATACTTTAAGGCATTCTAATTTTAAGTTTAATGCCTTTTTTTAACCAACAAATAGAGAATCCGGCATTAGAAATTAGAAATGTTTTTTTTAGTTTTGTTTTATTATCCCATCGCTTCATTGTCATTTTATTCTATTTTATTTTTTCCCAGTGCACCTGCAGCAAGGACATGGTAAAAATTTCAATGGATCCCTTCGTGCGCCGGTTCCAGCCGGACAGGTACCAGGTTTGGAAGCAGGGCAAGGACGTGTGCACTATCGATCACTCGCTGCCCACCCCAGGGTCAACACCCGAGCTCCTGAGCTGGATCCACCGGAGGAAGAGAGCAGGGGCCTCATCTAAAAGGTACGACACATGAAGCCTGGGTTTTTATGACCAAAGCTTTTAGCCTCAGGAGATTTCAGTATGTACTGTAGATAATATTATAAACCTGGGATATTTGCTTTAACCCATTTGGTTAATTTTTGTTTCTGTCACGGCCACCACTCAGCGGAGCTCTATCCATAAACGAGTTCACGATCTCATCACCAGTTCACCGCATACTTAAAACCTCACTTGACACTGCTCTGGGCTCGGTATTAGTTTCTCCTCTTGACAGATCGTACCTCGCCTTCTTTGGACTTTCGGATATTGTTTTCGACCACGACTTCGCCTGACGTTTCGGATCGTTGAACCTGTCTCACTGTCTCCCAGCTCCACATACTGTAGGATCCTAAAACATTTTTGGCTGGTGCGTTGTAAAAGTTTCCTTTTGTATAGAAAATGATATAATAATTTTGGTTTAATTGCTTTGCTGTTTGATTTTTTTTTCTTTTGGTTTAACAAATGGAGAACCTGAAAGCCAAGTACTAGTCTCCCCATTTTCAATTTGAAGTTAATTAGTCCTCTTTGATCGCACACCACAAGTGATTGTTTTGCTTTGTGTCGCATGCAAATTCTGGGCTAAAACTGACAGAAATGAGGAGTTTGTGATGTCTTTAGCAGGTTTTTATCTAAGAGACAGATTACCGTTTAATCTCAGAGAGTAGAGGAATGAATCTCGGGCAGCAAAGGAGCCACTTGTCCTCATTAACACTTAAGAGCTTGGCTCAGAGTATAGTACACCTTGTCACCCACACACACTGCTGCTTATCTTAACCATTGAGGGTCTGCTTTTGGGGGCTGGCACCGAGAAACCTATGAAAAACACAATGGACCAGACTAGGCTCAGATTGTGTCCTTTTTTTCAGTTTTTACTTTTTTGTGAAAGAAAAAAGTAATGTCACTAAGTGACATTTTAAGTAATGACGGCACCTTTTTTTTAAAAAAAAACACCATTTACTTTTGTAAATGCTCTGTTTGTTTTCTAAATATCCCTTGCATAGGAAAACGTTTGCTTGTACTGCGTGATTTTGGAGCCCCTACGTGATTTTGTAATGATGACAAAGTCGTGTGAAAGCCGTTACAACAGGTCTAGTGAGCAGTAAGCTAGAAAACTAAAACCTGAGCTGTAGTTCTTCAGAATGGTGAAAAAAAGGCTCTTCTGCCAAAACAAGCTAATTTTGTGCACGAAGAGACCAGTACTGTCTTGTACCCCCAGCAACAATACATTTGTGTGCATGTTTGTGTGATGTGTGAGTTGCTCACAAATGAGTACCTCAGTTTTAGCTGATCTAGCAAGATCACCTTCCTGTGGGCATGGCAGAGTTGCTTTGGACTGATGCCTGGTACTCTTTTCAGCAGTTAATAGTGTGTTGCACAGCTGGTAGTCTTTTTAGTTTCTGTAATAGGGGAAAATTGACCCCATACCCTACAGCGTGAAGGGTCTACTGTATTTCTAAAACAGATGTCATTCATGCAAATTGCTATTAGTAGTCCCATAGTTTATTGAATATTCCCTGTAATGACTTATCAAGACGTAATGTACTGTATGATGCTGGGACTCTTGTCAGGGGAGTGTACAGAAGGACCATTTTTTATACATAGTAAGAACATTAAGAGAATTAAAAAGGCTGGAGACTAGAGGGAATTGTTTGGCTCATTCAGCATGTTGGGTTGTAAGTCGACCCAGGGATCTCATCCAGTCATTTTTTGAAAGAAGTCAGGGGATCAGCTTCAACAGCATGGCTTGGGAAGACGTTCCATAGTCCCATAACCCTTTGGGGTGGGTGCTGACGTTCCTTGGTTTTAAAATGCTCATACACACACTTTCCACTTGTTTCCTCTGGTTCGTGTTTCACTGTTCTTTCTGAAGAGGTCCATCGCGTTGACTGGGTCAGTGCCTTTTTGCAATTGATATTTGCTGAAGACAGCTTCCCTGGCTTGAGACTGCTCAAACTCACTCACCGTCTGTGACAGGTATTCCACAGGCAGCAGCACACAATGGGTTGAGCACTGCTAGGGGAAGGTTAGGATTAGCTGATCAGTGACTCCTGAGACTTCCCAGGGACTTACAGTACAGGCTTGAAGAGACAGGCGTGAGAGTTGCACCACTCCTCCAGCAGGCGTCGAACCCGCTTGTCAGGCATGGTGGGGCTCGTATCTTGCCTAAGAATGAATACCTTTACAGCTGGCTGTACTGGAGCAGCACCTCTATGTGTCATTTTTTTCTGACATGGGCAAGGGATTTGTTGCCGGACAGCTGAGTCTTAAAAGAACAATCGATTCCAAATTAGGAGGATGTGTGATATTTGTACATCATAATTTTGAAATGAAAATAATTGTTAATTTGACGTTTTTTTTTTAAATGGCTGTTAAATGTAAAGATATGTTTTGCTGTATTGAAATAGGACAAGCAAACGATGTAGATGGGTTATTTCAGAAGGCTACTTCTCGATTTTAAACTTATGTACAAGAAACCTCTTGCATGCAAGAGGTTTAAACTAAGCAAAGCTACAATGTTATTGGGAATTTTGTAGCTGGTATATGTGGAATTAGAGTGGCTACTTTTACGCAAGGAATGCATCTCACTAGAAGCCCAGAATGTGTGGTCTATTCCTCAAATAGACTTCATAGCAAATTCTTTTCTCATTAGGAATGCTGTGCATCGTTTTAAGGTCTAAAGTCAATATAGCAAAATCTGAAAAACTGTTGGGCAGAAAAAGCCTGGCATCTCCTGTTTAATCCCTCAGTCTGCATAGGCTACAATATGCTACAAATCTTCAGGTTACCATAAAAAGAAAGCAATTATGCTTATTAAAAAGCTACAGCATGCCTGCCAACAGTCCCAGAAATGAATGTACTTCTCCAGTGAACTAAGAAATCCTGTCAAAACTCTGACAATGTGCCAAACTACATTTCAGTCGGATTTTTCATACAGAAAATATTGATAAAAACTTCCTTGTTGGATTTTTATTTTTTCAATGATTCCATGTGTATGGGGGTGAATTGTTTATGCAGCAGGGCTGTCATCATAACGAATCAGTCTTTTATTTAAACCCTTTGTTAGGTTTACTGGAATACATAGGGCCCTTTGTTTCAAACGTTCAGGAGCTTAAATTCCCATAGGAAACCATATGTTATGAATATGGAGCCCTTAGATTTGTACAAAAGACATGGTACACATGGAGGTAAAAAAAAGTGGTTTCCGAAAAAAAACCCTGTTAAGCATGTTTCCGACTTACTCATAAGTTGAAGGTTTTTAGTGTCTATAGTTTCTATAGAAAGTCTCAGGCTTGTCAGATATCATGTATCATCAATCTAAATGAAAGAACCGTCTCTGCAGCCAGGACCACTTGAGTCTTAGTGACCGTAGAGTATCTAACCCAGGGTTTCAAGCCAACCATTTTGAAGGGCAGATAGAAATCAGCTTAAACTACCAGTTCTTCTTGTTTCAGCAAAAATAACTCCTGCAAATGGAAGTGAAAGGATTCTGAACTCTAGAAATTACATCAGCGGTCATTAGGTTATGCCTTTATGAACCTCACAACGTGGACAGCTCTTTAGTTTTAGAAGTGTGTGTACATCTGTCAAATACTGATATTTTGTTTTTTGTTAATTGTCACAGTAATGATAAGAGAAGCAGTCATGTAAATTATTTGCCAGTGGCAGAATTCTGGATTGCGAAGTTTTTGTTTCTAGAATAGGTGTTTCTCTGTGTAGCACTCAGTCCAGCCCAGGTCTTGTCTAACTGTCCATAGGACTTGGCTACTTAGTTACCAGCCATAATGGCAAATGGAAATTCCCATGTCTTTCAATCATTCAGATCTTCAGGACAGAATAACACTTTGGAAAACCATAATGACCTCCGGAGTCCTTAGACCGACGTCACATGGAGGAATAGTGCCATGGGCCATTAACATAATGCATAACTAACTATATTGTTTGAGTCAAGATTATTTATGGAGTTGGATCTGCATCCTGTTAATAACTCGCTTAGCACAGGGATTCTGATCCTGGAGGTCCACACTGCACACCTGGTGGTCTTTATTACAGTTTAAATATTTAATTAATTGGATTATTGGGTAAAAAGTAAACTCCAGAATATTCATAAGTAAAATATGAATGCAATTATTATATTAAATAAGAGTTCGACTTACGGTATCACCTAGTCTCCATAGAATCATAAGTAGAAACCTCACACTGAGGCTAGGTTCCTATCCCTTTACCTTACATTAGTAATGCAGGGTCACAGCAACAGAAGGGTGAGATCTGGATTTTGAAAGGCACAATATCTTTACAAGTTCTTGTAAATTTTTTAGGTAGATTTGCTATTGCATAAGTTGTTTGGATGTGTAGTTTAATGCCCATTATCCAATGAAAACATGTTGATTTTATTTTTCAGCAGTTTACAGTGATCCATTTCTATATTTATTTTATGACTTTATATGAAAATAAAAATACATTGAGCAAAAACATCAGCCATAAGAAGAAATACATCAGTCATTGCCTTAATATTCAAACATAAACTTTTGACCAGAAATAATTTATGCAGACAAAAGTTGAATCTGAATGTAATTTAAAAAAGCCAGTGGGAATACTGTACAGTTCCATGTGAAGGAACGTTCTTTAAAAGCAGAGTACAATGTTCATTTTCAACAAACAATTGTGGGAGACTAGCCAAGGGGTAATAGTAGATGGTTCTCATGGAACTGTTTCAGCTAGAGCTTAGATTGAAAAAAAACAAACAAACAAACAAACAAACAAACAAACATTCTTAAAACGCCTCCGATTTGAATTTTAAAAGATACTATATCTGCATAACTTCATAATGTGAAGTCTGACACATTTGCATAATGCTTGTAGAATATATTACTTTCAAAATCACTTGCACGCTCTTTATTTTTGATCAAACTTAGATGTTTATATTTATTAGCAAATGATTCTGTCTTTTCTCTTCCTGTACTGCAGGGAAGTTTTTCATTTTG